TCTCTCTCTCTTCTCTCTTCTCCCTCTGTCTCTCTCTCCTATCTGTCTCTCTAAATGTCTGTCTCCTTCTCTCTTTCTCTGTCCTGTGGGTGGTTGGCTGATGCTCTGGTGTGGTTTACTTCTTTTTTCCTATCGATCATCTATCATCCTTATCTCTCCTTTTTTTGTGTTTGTTACTCTCTTGTAACACCTCTAATCTTCGGCACTTAAACTACCTTTTTGTGTTGTAAAAAAAATTACTAAAACTAATTTCTCCACGCCCCCACCCCCCTTTTTTTTTCTAGATCCATCAGTTGTTTGGGGTTTTTTTTTGTTATTCACTTTTTCATTTCAAGAAATACACACAAGGATATCTATGGTATGCTTTTTTTCTCACCAGATTACTTTTCTATCCTTTTCAGGGAAGAAGTTTTTGGGTGAGGGCATTAAGATGCCGGATGAGAAAGAAACAGAAAATCAAGCTTTGACACAGTAAGTCAAGGGATGTGTACGTGTGTGTGTGTGTGTGTGGGACTTTTGAATTTAAAATGCACTTATTGTACCCTAAGACATACATAATTAATTTAATGGAAATAATTATTTATCAAGACTGACATTATTTAATTGTGATTAAATAAATCTATATTTCCTCCTTGTCTTCCACTCAAATTCTTTTATGTCTATGATCAACCATGATAAAGTTTTTTCTTCTAAACTTGTTCGCATGGTGGGCAAGATTTGAGTATCAATTTGAAATGCAGAAGTTTCTTTCTTATGTAATTTGTGATGGGGGTACATCTGTGGTGTCATTGGTCTAGCGGTTAGGCTTTTGTACTCGTGATCGAAAAGTGGTGGGTTTGTATCCCACCAGGAGCCCAACACTGTGTCCTTGGGAAAGACACTTTACATGAAATTCCCTCACTTCACTCAGAGGGGAATTGGAGCCTGGCTATAGACAGGGAAAGATTTTGTCAGTCTGTTAGTGTTTGAATGCTTGATCGGATGCTAGAACTGGATGCTTCCAGGGAAGCCGAGAATGTTTCTAAGTGTTTTGGGGTCTTCTGGGGTAATAATAGTTGTATACGGCATTGAGCATGCTGTTGAGCGTAGATATGCACCATATCTAGGGGGCTCCAGTGGCTAAGTGAGCAGTGAGTTCAGACTCAAGTAATGTCAAGCAAGTGTCTGTGACACGGGGATCAGATGGGTGGTCACTGGGGTGTGTCTTTGAGCAAGACACGACAACCCTAGCTCAAAATCAAAATACAGGGTGCTGCACAGTGGCGACCGGCAATGGCATGGTTGTGAATTGTTCTGTGCTGGTGTGATTTTGTGTATTTATAAATGTATTTGTGCATGTATTTATGTATATATGTATTCATAATTATGTATGTATGTATATATGTTTACCATTGTAAACCAGATTGCAATTCTGGGATCAATAAAGGTGTAATTTATTTACTTATTTTTGTTTTTTCTAAAAATGTAAATGCAGTTATCATTATATGCTATTTCTTGACCCTTTTTTTCCCCCCTCCAGACCCCCTCGCCCTGACCTTGATTCCAGAGCCACACTGACCATCAGTGGACAGAAGTTTGAATGTGATGCAAGTGACCTTGAACACAGGAAGTTCTTAGGTCGAGGGGCGTACGGCGTGGTGGAGGAGATGGTTCATCGACCCAGTAACACAGTCTTGGCAGTCAAGGTCAGTCTCGGAACAATATTATTACAGTGGGGGAGTTTGCGTATTTCAAAATCTGGGGAACCACCTGATTTTCTTCTGTGTGGCCAGGTTTTCGGTTAGAGAGATTACTATAATTT